GTAGACTCGTGAACTCGCTTTCAGGAAATCCTATACACTACTGTTTATGCTCTAAAAACATTCTAAATGACTTCGTTTCGAGTAAATTATGGACGCTACCCACTCAGGACACTTGGAATACATTGGACGAGCAGTATGGAGGAATATTGACACGTTTTTTGTGGACTTTTATGGACCTTTCTGTCTCGGGCACCATAGACCTCCATTATTTGAATGTCAGCAGACAGCAAGAAGCCTCCCAGATCTCCAGATGCATTTGAGATATCAAAAAAGTACTCCAGAGTGTTGTTCAGCATGGGGGGTGAGTAGAAAATGAAGGCTAATCATGTTTTGGGTGTACTATTCCTTTAAGAGGTTATTGTTCCTGGTTTACAAAATGTAACCTTTAATGGTGTAAACCAAACTAGCAAGCTTAATCTTTTAAACTTTCAAAGAAGACTGCTCAATGCTCAAGTGTAAAAATGCTTTTAACCCACTCTTATAAGTATTCATACTCTCCAAACCTTGCAGTCCGACCAACTTCAATGCATTTAAGGAGTTCATCTCATAAACAAACGCAGAATAGATCATGATTGCAAAGTGGAAGGAGATTCAATTAGACGTTTTTTTTTCTTTTTTCCAGGCTGAATATTTCAAAAAGTTTTTGACTGCTGTAAAAAACCCGGCTACTTGCATTCACAGTTTTTGGAAGGGGACTTTCGTAATGTTCCTAACTGTGCGATATTTTCAGTCTTTGCACGCAGCTACAGCTCACACTTTAAAAGTTCCCAGCTCATAAAGCATGCGCTCATACTGTGCGGCCCGACGCTCTGATGCGATCTTATGAATGAATTACAAACATGTTTAATTTTTTTATCTCAACCTTATGGTTCCTAATCGGGAGGCGGTCGAGAGGCTAATCGCCCCTCGTTACCCCCCTGTACACCACACAACGCAGGACGAGGCTGAAAGTCGGCCCGATCGAAAAATTCTCACACGACTCGAGAGGCAGCCTGAAAAAGGCAAAAAATCATGCAGTGTATGGCCGGCTTAAGACATCTTGCTGATGATGTTAAGACAAACACTGCATGGTCCTGGTGGGCGCTACCTTTGGTAGTAGGTCTGGCGCTTCTCTGAACCCGTCCAGATCTGGACATCATGTAAACCTGGTGAAGTTTTCCGCTAGCTTTAGGGGAAGGTCGGACACATTTGAGAAGCCATGTGCAGAGGAAAAATACACTACACACCATACCTATAGTGACACAACAGCATCAAAGCTAGACAGAGCGACATGCCATATAAAGCTACTATGATGAGAAAAGACTAAATTAAAAGTTGAATAGAGGTGGAATACAGCAGAGAAAAAGAGGTCCCCATGTCCTCCAGCAGTCTAAACCTATAGCAGCAAAACTATACAGATAGCTCAATTCTATTCAGTTTATTTATATAGTGCCAATTCACAACACTTCATCTCAAGGCACCAGCTGATTGCAGTGACTCGTTGACTAGAAGGCAATCCATTACACCTAGCATGCTTGTAGTGACAGTGGAGAGGAAAAGCTCCCTTTAACAGGAAGAAACCTCCAGCAGAACCAGGCTCAGTGTGAGCGGCCATCTGCTGAGGCCGACTGGGGTTCAAGGAGACAGAAGCAGAGATACAGAATATAACAGTGGCACAGGATAACCTAACTGCGTTTTGCGCTCATTGAAAGTCAGTGTGGATGATCACACCAGATTAAAAAGTATTCAAATAGTTCGTTCAGGCCTTAAAACTGGTAGTTGGTTCCACAGGAGAGGAGATTGACGAGGCAAAGGTCTGCCTCCTATCCATGTTAAAAAGGCCTAGTCAAAGCCTGGGACGTCATCAACGTTGGATTCAGATTCTTGCTAATCAGCTGGACTTAGAATCTTTTTGGAGAGAAAAATAAGCAAAAATCTGACTAGCTGAGCAAAGTTGATTACTTTTCTTTTATTCATGCAATACCAGCTTTTCAGATGTTTTTGGGGAAAATAATTAAACCTATGAATCCTTTTCTTTTAATTCAATTAATCCAAACCACTTTGCAGTAAAACCCATTCAGTTCATGTAATGTTTTGATGTTTGAAGGCTTTAAATAGTTGCAGTTTTTCTAGAGTTTTTGATATTAACATTATAAAAAAAAAAAACATTAATAAACAGGTTTTAGAGTTCAGTTCTGTCACCATGGAGATGGTTTAATGACTCCAGTGCAACATGTAATAACCGAGTCGACTCTTTGTGCTCCCAGATCCTGAAGCCGTCTGAGAAGAAAGCAAAGTACCAGTACGGCGGGATGAACTCCGGCCGGCCCGTCACTCCTCCCCGCACAGCCCAACCTCCAAAGAAACGATGAAGACTGACGGACGGAGATGACGCCATTGTTTCCTTTTGGCTTTTCACGTCGAATAAGAAGCGACGCTTGGCAGAGAAGGAAAGCCATTTAAAAATGAAACACCCCAAACATTTATTTTCCTCTTTAATCTCTTGAACTGCTGTTGTACTTTTCTCCTCCTCCCCTTCCTCTGCATCTATGTAACATTTTTAAAAAGCAGTGTTTCAATAAGAGGGTCATTCTGTAGCATATCTTTATATATATTTTTGTCTTTCTTTTCTTGACAACAGAATGACAGCCGCTTTAGTTTACCATACGTCCTTACCCCCCCCATGCCTGTACAGACACAGGTATTAATGACGACTGCTGGGTTTTCAATAAATAATAAGGAAGAAACTCGATTTCTTGTTTGTTTCTTATGTAACTTATTTAATAAAAATTCAGTCTTAGATCAAACTGTTTTTGTTCTGGCTCAGAGCTGCTGAAGATCTTAAATTCACTTAATTATATAAAAAATGCTTTTTTGCTTTAGATGTATGGAGTGAATTTTATTCCATTATTGATGCATTTAATGTTTTGTGAATAGAAATACGGGGAAAATGAAACAGAGAAATTAAACTTTAGGAAAAATAAGGTTTTACCAAAAAAAAAAACCCTGAGAAAATAAGCAAAGTTACTCTTAAAACCCTTCGGTTTTTCAAACAAATTTTTCATCCTCTTTTTAAAATTAAGTTTTACGGCTCACATGAATCCACGTACACTAATACCAATGTGTTCCCTCGCTTCAGACAGGAATAACGACGGAGTATTATGGCCAGGTTAGACTTTTTTTTTTCTTCTATTACAAGAATAAAGTAATATGAGAAAAAAGTGGAGAATAGTCAAAAAAATTACGAGAATGACGTAAAACTCCTACAAGTATCACTTTCTTCCCTAAAATGAGGAATGTCCAGCATTATGAAGTTATACTTTGGTTTGACAAATAAGGAAATCTTTCAGCACCTGCATCAAATTGTGCAGCGTGTCAAATTGGACTCAGGTTGCTGATTGGCCGTCTATCTGAAACAGGCTGTGGTATGATTTCATTCTCGTTATATTACAACTTTATTCTCGTCTTAAAACTTAACCCCTAGAACCCTACGGACCCACCGGTGGGTCCAGCTGCTACGTGACCTCGTAATTTTAACAAACCCCCAGTATTGATGTAAAAAACACATTTGGCACAGTTTGGTGACATTTATGGATAAATGTGCCAAAATGGCCTCTCCGCCTAAGAAATTTCTCACTAATACCATTCTAAAATAAATATGATTCATCTGATTGAGTCCAAATTTGGTATATTTTTACACAACATTTAGATTTGAAAGTCTGTACTACTTTTTTGTGCTCTAAATAATATTTTGGTAGTGTTTTGCAATGTTTATTTCAAAGAAAATTTTGGCGAGGTTCAAAAAATGCAAAATATTTTCTAATATTTCAGGCAGGGTCAAAGCTACAATGGTGCTGACACCAGAAAACCATTCTATGACATCTTACCTTTACAGACGTACCAAAAGTTTCTTCTTAAATCTAATAGCTGTGAGGCTATAAGTTATTTACTTTTGTGTGTTTTTGTCAGGCAGAAATTTATTTATACCCCCTGAGGGTGTACGAGGTTAAGAGGATGAAAGTGAAATAAACTTTTAAGAGAAACCAGAGTCTGATTCCTGTTTTCTCTCATTATCTTAGGAATGAATTCCAATTCAAGTAGTTGATATTTTATATTTAAATATCCAGAATCATATAAATGTCTGTAATTAATTAAAGATGAACCTTTGTCAGACTGAAGGGTAAACCTGCTCACTGAGCGTCTTTAAAGACAAAAGAAAAACACCTTTCAGCCAGTAGGTGGCAGCGTTTACCTCTGCAGACCAGTTTCCTTCCCAGTGGTCTGGACTCAGTAAACTAGAGTTTAAATGTTCATCAATGCCTTTTTTTTTTTTTCTTCCTCTTTTCTGTCCATTAAAATAAAATAAAAAAATACCAAAATATGCCGTTTGAACAAAGTAAAAAATATCCGTAAGGAATTTAGAAGAATCTCTGGATTGCATTTCTTTCTAATTTTACTTTCCAAAGCTATTCTTTGAAGCAATAATGGAACATTCACTCCGCAGAGATGCTGCCTTCAGGTGCTGCTTGTGTCGTCTGGTCAGCGTCCAAGTCCTGCTGAGACATGGAGTCCTCTGAAAGTGTTTTATTAGCAGAAGCATGAAGTTTCCTGATAGATTGCCAGACGTCCCACTGATCCTGAGTCAGAAAATATAATTCCCAGATTAAATGAGACATTACCTTGAACAGAGGTAACTGTGGCGTTCCCTGGTTTAACATCATGGCTGTAGCCATGAACCTGGAGCTCAATGGTTTCTAAATTTCAACCAAACTTCAATCACCTTAAGGCTGCTAATATGAACACATTCTCCAAAAAGCTTTTCCTTTCCTTAAATTTTCCATATTTATTTTAAAGTTTAAAAATCAGTATTTCCCCCTAAGTACGCAGCCATAACATTTTTATTGGTCCAGAACCAGGAAGTGGATTTAAGCATCAGAATAAGCAGGAATAAAAAATTTGGCTTTTCTGTAATTTGGTCAAATAAACCAGCGAGCATCTTTATGAACCACATGACAAGCAGCTGTTTGAATCAGTTTATTAAACACAGATTGGAAACACTTTGGAGCTCAGAGGCCAGAACCACGAAGCAGGATTACTGGGTTAGCGAGAAAACTTCAGCTGGATTTATTCTTAGGCTATAGTTACCATGGAAACGTACCCTTAACAGCTAGCTTTCAGGTTTGATCTGAATCTAATAAAAACGCTCCGTCCAGCAGCCAATCGGCCGTTATAACTTAAAACACAATAAAGGAATTTAGAAATAAAATAAGTTCAAACATTTTATTTTTCCTTTGCCTTCTTTTGACGCAAAAACACTCACTTTATTTACATATATACACACTATTTCTCCTGCATGACGTCCTCAAGCACAGCTGGCATTCACTTGTTTCTTCTATAATTTTTATATGAAGCTAAATAAAAATAAAATGAGCGCTAATTGGGAGAAGTTCATCGGACCAATAGGAGCGATAAAGGGTTTTATAGGCTGGACCATCCTAGAACCACGTGTTTACTGTGACCTGCAGGAGTGCCGCCCTTTGGCTGAACATCCTATAAAAGAAGGAGTTATGTCCTCCCAGGTGAGTCACTACCTGCATATCTGTGAAAATTCATTCACATTCTGACAAATATAGATTTTTCTTGTGTGCTTTAACAGCATGAATGAGGACATGTAACGCTGACGGTGCATGGATGAGGGATTCATAATAAACCGCCAGGTAAAATGAAAATAAATAAATAAATGCTATGTTTAAGAAAATACATTTAGGGTGGCATTTAAGGACTTTGACTTTTTAAAAAGCAGAGATGCAGTGTCCGCCGCATTAAGTGCCGTCCCAAACCCTGCAGTGGGCAGGGCGAGCGGACCGTTCAGCCCCTAAATAGTGACTCTCCATCAGTGCAGGCCTGCTGGAATGTGTCAGCAGGTGTAACGGCGAACTAGTGGCGGGGGAAACGCGTTTCTAGGAATGTAAATTCCGCTGCATCTTCGTCACACCGTCAGAAAATCACAAGTTAGTTTATGAAAATTGATTTCTATTTTAAGAGGCAAATGTTTGATTTTATGCGTCACAGAGGTGTCACTGTGTTGCCATAGTAACAAACACCTTCCCTTTCTATTGGAGGGAAGAGGCCGTCCCATTCACGCTTAAACCCCCCCCCCCTCAAGTACAATCCAGGTGTTCCACAGCCGTGAGTTCAGCTTTATTGCGAGCGACACTTGTTAGTTAAGGGTTAGCGGTTCGGGATTCCACCACCATGTTTGACTTTTCATTCAGAACTTTTCTTTCCTCTTCATAGTTCTGTAAGATGAGTTTTTGTTCCCCTCAGGATAAATACCACGCTCTCCCTCCTGCTATTGTTTGTGATTGGTCTGCTACCTTGAACCCGCCCCTTTAGACGTGAGCGATCCCGCTGATCCTGATCACCACTGCCACAGACTGGTTAAACTGGAAATAATCCCGCCAGGCTGCGTTTGCTTCGTGGTGCGGGCCTCAGACGAGCTGCGCACGGCGGCTCGCTCCAGTCGCACAAAACAACCAGGATGCAATCTGTTGCTATGGAAACGGTTTGTGTTCAGCTCTTCTACAAGCAGAGGGAAGCTGAAACGAGCACATGGGTCATTCATTAAGGCAACAGCGCTGTAAACTCAAGATTTTTTTTTAATCCAGAGAGGCGTTTCCTTTTAGTCTCAGTCCATCACAGCTTCAAATGGAAATACAACATAAATCTGAATTTATCCCATAAAAAAAACCCACAAAACAAACAGAAAGCAGCAGCTGCCACAACATCAACACAAACATGAACATAAAAAAATTTGATTTAAAAAAGAAACACCAGCGTGGAAATCATGAAGCGCATGAAACACTGCAAACAAAGCAGTAGAGTTCCTTTAAAGTACCTTTCTCATATACTTTTAACCATCAGGAAATTTAATCCAGGCTTTAGCTTCCCAGACTTGAAGTAAGGTTCATCTGGACCTTCTTTTCTTTTATTAAGTCTGACTAAACCGCCAAACAAAACATGTTAATCTGCAACTGAACATATAAATGTTGAGTCGCCCTTTAAGGATGAAAAACAAAGTGAAATAAACTTTTAAGAGAAACCAGAGTCTGATTCCTGTTTTCTCTCATTATCTTAGGAATTAATTCCAATTCAAGTAGTTGATATTTTATATTTAAATATCCAGAATCATATAAATGTCTGTCATTAATAAATTAAAGATGAACCTTTGCCAGCCAAAAGAAAAACACCTTTCAGCCAGTAGGTGGCAGCGTTTACCTTTGCAGACCAGTTTCCTTCCCAGTGGTCTGGACTCAGTAAACTAGTTAGAGTTTAAATGTTTAAATAAAAAAGTTAGTTTGTTCATCGATACAGTTTTTTTTTTGTTCCTCTCTTTTCTGTCCATTAAAATAAAATAAAAAAATAGCAAAATATGCAGTTAAACACAGTAAAAAATATTCGTACCAAAACAAATACCTCTTCACTGAAAGGCTGAAAACCTTTAAAACTTATCTGGTCTCTGAATGATTTAAAGAATGAAATGTTCCCCTAAACTATATGAACTATTCTACCACTAAAAAAAAACAACGGAAAATGTAGAAAAATGGATAATTCGACCCGTTCACACTAACATTGACTGCAATACTTGTTGTTTTTTTAAACAGAAATTGAATCTTTTCCCAGTCAGAGTTCAGGCTCAGTAAGGCAGCAGCAGACCACTGATGTCTGTGTGTGGGGTGGGTGGGGGGGAACAGCTGGAATGATGCTCTAATGCTGCTTTAATGCTTCAGGGTCGCTGCAGCGCTGCTACACCAGCCGCCGCAGGGCGAAGGACAGGGCGCCGCCGATGGACAGACCCAGAGCCAGGAAGAAGGTCATCAGTGCTCCGGCCGTCTCTGCGTCTTTAGGCGCCACCAGCCTGATCAAACAATAACATTTAATCATTAGATGGTTTTCACAATTATGGAGGCATTTTCTGTTCCTACAGAATAAGGCAAGTTAAATTCAAGACTTTTTAAGACTTTTTAATGCCACTTGAAATAAAAATTTAAGACCAAATTCACAAGAAACACAAGAAAAACCTGCTTGCGACAATTAAACCCAAAATTTAATGTTTCAAATGTTGAAAAGCTTCCCATACAGGAAGAAAGCTAAAAACACACAAATGACAGATATATTTTAACAATTATTTAACTGAATTCACAAACTTTGTTTTAGCAGGGAACAAAACTAATCAGTTTTAAAGCCAACACATAACCAGTGCTAAGTCTTTTTTGCAGCCATTTTTCTTTGTATGGTTTTCTTAGTATGTTTGATTTGGTGATAAGTGGAGGCGTTGCAGAGACAAGGGTGGAACTAAACTGAGAAATACCGGCTGTTTCTCTCTAACTCCATTTTGATGCTTTGTGTTTCATGCTTCACATGCGACTCCACTGCCTTAATTCCCATCGTTCTGAGCTTGAATGACTTCTTGCACTAAATCCACTGAGCCTCATGTATGTTCCCTGGTTTTAGCCATGGAGAAAACTCTTGGCTGGAGACAATTTTGGTTCCATTTATACTTGCTCATGTTTTCCAGACAAAAAGTAAATGGTGCATCTCCCAAATGTCCCGGCTGCAACAACGCCTTTATTGGTTCCGCTATCGGGAAGGAACCAATAATGGAGAGCTGTTATTTTTTTTTATATAAAATTTTTTTTGTCAATTTTTGCGTTTTATTTAGATTACAAAAATAAATCGAAATAAAAATAATCCTCTGAAAGACTGATTTAAGACATGTTAATATCAATTAAGGCCTTAGTTTTATTTTGAAGAATTCAATGCCTTTTAAGACTTTTTAAGGACCCGCGGGAACCCTGCTGTAACACATGGAGGAAGAGAATATATGCTGAGATATGCAACATTTATTTATTCATTTATCTAAAACACAATTCAGATATTAGATATACCATTCAATTATAAATTAATTATAAAAAAAAAAGGCATTTATTTATCTCTCTAACACATCACCAACATTTCTGGTACATTATTAAATGGTTAAAATGCAAAATTAAATAATTAAGTTTGTCATTACATGAATAAAAAGGATTGAAAAGTAGAAATTTAATAATTAAATGTTATCTGAAAATATATTCAATACATTATTTAAATATTTAAATATTAAAATATTTTTCTATTAAATAACAAAATGAATAAATTGCTCATTAAATAAACTCATTGTACGGTTAAGTAATTCAAAATAAATGTAATATTCTAGTTAAATGTTATCTGAAAATACTTTTTTTTTTTTATCCAATACATTATTTAAATATTTAAATATATCAAAGAATTAAAAGACATTAAATTAATAAAATCTATATAATTTAAAATTTTTTTTAAAAATGCTATTTTTTTTACATTGTTTAAAAATTGAAATATATAAAAAAAAAAATCATAAAAAGGATAATTAAATCAAATCTCATTAAATTAATAAAACTGAAATTAAGTTAAATTATTTCTTAATGCATTTCTTTATCTAATATTTAAATATGAAAATATTTTTCTATTAAATAGCAAAATTATTAATTGCCCATTAAATAAACTCATTGGACCGTTAAATAATTCAAAATAAACCTAATATTCTAGTTAAATTTTATCTGAAAATCCAATTTTAACTAAATAAAGAGCATTTTTATTCAGTCAGGTTTCCTTAGAGGCTCCATTGCAGATTAAATGCTTTCAGATATATAAATTGTGTGAACCCGGCTGTACTCACTGCGGGGCGTAGGACATGGAGAGGCACACGAAGTAACCGCTGGACACGGAGAAGAAGGCCATGATGGTGGTAAAGAGGGCGTCGTGTGAGAAGAGGACGGGAAGGTTGGAGCGCTGCTGGACGTTACAGAACATCAGCAGGGGGACGAAGACCGCCCTGAGGACCACCAGCAGCGGGAAGAGACGAGACTCTTTGGAAGGCTGAAAGGACATCAGGAGGACGGGTCAGAACCGACCTGAAGCAGCTGGCTGTGGGTCTAAAGATGGAGGCCTGAGAACAAAACCTCCTCCACCAGAACCACAGACACAACTTTTTTCCCACAGGGACATCAGGAAGGTTTCTCCACCATCATTAAACAAACAGCCGTTTATTAAAAAAAAAACAAAAAAACCACCTATTCTGTTCATCTGAGGAAAACCTGAACATCCCTTTAATGACTTCACTCTGTATCCATTCAGACATAAAGAGAAAAGGTTATTTTTATTTGGAAATTGATTCTTTTTCTAAAAATCATAATTTCAAATGCGTTTAATTTAACAGCAGATATTTCTATCTATATTCAGCATTTGAATGACATATCAGAAACAGATATTAAATCTACTTATTTAATGCTGAATGTATTTATTTCATAAATATTTTATGTATTTTGGAAATGAAAGGATTAAATGAACAAGACTGTGTCTTAATATTATCAACAATTATATAAAAAACTTGAAAAGTATATATGTATGGAGAGAAACAAAAAAACCTAGCATCGTTTCCCAACCTTTTTTGACTTGTGTAGCTCTAAGTACATAAAACTGTGTAACTCCATTATAATTTCATTTAAACTCCATGAATAGGGAACAAAATACAGAACAAGAATTGTAGTCAGACTGACTTAATCAGATTTACTTTGTTTTTATTGAGACACCTGAGCTGCATTGATGATAGAGTTTGAAAACCAGCTGATCCCAGGCTGTTCTCTACATCTACCTGCCCTCTGCTTGGTGAACTCTTAACATATGAGAAAAACTTACTTTTTGTTTTTTAAAATCTTGTTTAATCTTTCAATGTTTTCCTCACGAACCAAAGCAGATCCCAGCCCCATTTTATTTTACTACCTAAGAAATAAAATATTTTCATGTACCCATTGCAATGCCCTCAGACACCACTAGGGGTCTCTGAGGGCATTGCAATGGGTTCCCCGGTTGGAATCACTAAAGGGTTTTTCTTTAGCAGGTTTTTTTTTTTCACAACCAGGGAATCACTGCTCTAAGCGATGACATCACGGTTTATTTTGTTCTGTAGCTTCCAGCTGAAAACGCTGCCGATGCCTAACAACCTAAAAATGCTGAAGAAATGTGTATGATTGAAGACAAAAGCCATGCAGTGTTTCCCACAGGATTTCAGGAGACTGTGGTGGGAGAGTATCTGACCCTCGGGGGTTTTGAACAACGTCATACATGCGCCTCTTGGTTTTTAAAAGATATAAATATAAAAAATATAACCACGGATGTCGGGGACAGTGATTCGCCTACATGTTCGGAATGCTGGCGTACCATAAAGAATAAATGATGAACAGTTTAGTTTGTGCTTCAAGTTGTTGCTCATAGGAAGACGTTACTTAGATATAACCTAACGGAATATCTTCAGAACGGCTCCAAATGACACAAAACTCATATGGGTGAGTAGAACATGATGGAATAACCTAAAATTAAGGGCCAAATGTAAAAAAAAAAACAGCGTTCCCCTTTAAGTGCATTTTAGAGGCCACTTTTTTTACTTTTTCTTTTTTCCCTTGTGGTCCACTAAGGAGCCTACAAATCATTATCTTAGAGAGGAAAACACGATGGACAAGTTGATTAAGTGACTGTTGCTGTTATTTAAGATAAAACATTTCAAATTCAGTTTTTATTTTAGACCAAATAACTTTTTACATTAACATCCCGCTCGCTCCCTGAGGGTAAACATGCTGTGGTTCTGACTGCTAAGAGCTGCAGCGACCCGTTAGTCCTCCACCCTGAGATTATTAAAGTCCACTAATCAATCATCTACTTTATATTTTAAAGTTAATCCTGGACTCATACTTAAAATAAAAAGGTTGGTTGGAAACAATTAACTTCATTGCTAACCAGAAGAAGCAGAGCTGGAGCTAAAGGTGGGGGCCTCTGGGTCATGACCCTAAGCGCAGACGGAGAATGTGATTTAATCCCGTCTGCATTCGGTTTGAAGTGTTTAAATCCAGCGTGAGACACAGAGAAGCCCGGATTAGTCGTCTGATGGATTAAAGGTTCTCCTGCAGTTTTCTGGGTGAGAAAACAATAACCTGACAGCAGAGATGGAGGCGGGAAAACGACCTGAACCTCACAGAGAAACATGGTGGGGGCAGCATCATGCTGTGGTTATAGGAGTCCATCATCTCTGACATTTTAGCAGATTATAATCATAAAATGGCAGAGCAGGTTCAGTCGGATGGTGAAAACTCACCCACTGCACCCAAGTGGTGACGGTGCGGCCGAGCCAGTCGTGGATGTTGAAAACCAGGAAGCAGCAGACTGAGATGAAGTAGCGCTCTGAGGGGAAGACAGGAAAGAGCAGTGAGACCAGAACACTTCCTCTCAAGGCACCGGAGGTCTTCTCTAAGATCTTACCCCATTTTCCAGGGAATGAGGTTTTGACGTCTGCGGTGACGGCGGGGAATACGGACAGAGTGACGGTGAACACGAACGTCACGCAAAACGCCATCACCCAGATCTGAGAAATGAAGAAAAACCCTTTAGACTCTCTAAGGTTCCTCATCCTGATCCTCTAACATCCGCCCTCATTTCCATCCAAACTACCTTTTTAAAGACCTCCAGGACCGAGGCTTTCTCTGCAGGGTCGCTGGCCTGCTTCGTGCTGCTGGGGTCGATCTCCACCTTGGCTTCCGCCTCACCGCTAGGCTCGACCTCTACGTTAGCCACGGATCCGTTAGCGTGGCCGTTTAGCTTCCTGTTCTCCACTCTGGTTCCGTCTGCAGGGAAAATCATTTCAATGAATGACGACCGTCTACAGAAACTCAAAGAAATGTTGTAGATCAGTTTTAGTACGGGTTCATGGGATCTTAAAGTAACGCCATCATTTATCTTTTCCAATTACAATTTACAGATCATGTTCACTTCACTTTTAGCCAAACAGAAATAATGGCTGCTGATGAGCACATTGCCCATTTACAATGCTGTTAACAATAAACCAGTGGAAATGTGTCTTTGCGCTTCACTCCAGGGGAAAGCACGCCTCCAGGAGTGAACAGAACGACATCTGTGAAACGAAATTTGAAAAGAAAGCAATATTTTAAAACAAACAACATATGAAGTCAGAGGCTTCTCCTGATGCGGTGCAAGACAGACAGCTACAGAGGATCCTTCCTGCCTACAGCCATCAACACCTGCAACAACTGGTTAAAAATAAACAAAACTATGAGTTACTACAACATTTAACATTTCCATTTGGGATTAATTCCCCCCAAGAAGGAAAAAAAAATCTGAGAAAACAGCAAATTTAATTGCACAATCTTTTTTCAAAAATTTTTAATTAAATTCAGTTTATTTCTATAGCGCCAATTCACAACACAAGTCATCATAAGGCTTTACAGTTCAACCAGATCATCCAGTCAAACTGATTTAAAGTGTTCTATCTAAGGAAAACCAGCTGATTGCATCGACTCATTGATTCAGAAGCAATCCCTCACACTAAGCATGCTTGTAGCGACAGTGGAGAGGAAAAACTCTATGGAAGTAAAACTCACTCAACGATGAGCTTATTTCATTTTACTGTAGTTGAGTTAGCGTTAGCTTGCATGACCGGCTCCGTGATGCTGTCACGTCACGTGACTAAGAAAACGTAACGGGATTGGCTGGGTGTTGGACGCCACAATCCATTGCTAATGTCTGTGACCTGAAGTAACCCTTCCCTTTTTACACTGAATTTAGACGCTGAATTTCAGACAGTGAAATAGAGCCAGTTGAATCTCAGTTGCTGAAAATATTTTTGTTAAAAAATCTGCATGTAAAAAAATTCAACCTTTCAAAATTCACTGAAAAATAAGTACTGAAAATGAAATCTCTGAAATAGTAATGTGAATTTTTAGCTCGAAGAGAAAATAAATGAAATTTCAACTGTGTAGAAATAATGACAATGAATTTTTTTTTTTAGGTCAAAAATGTGTTCTGAATCTATTTTAACACTGAAACAGGAAGTACAAACATACAACATTTAAATTTCAGTCGCATTTTTAATTCAAATCCCATCTGCTGAGGCCCACTGGGGTTCAAAGAAAACTGGTTTCATTTCTGTAAAAGATTTTTTTCTTACCAAAATTTTTCTTGGTTTGCAACAATAATGGAACAAAACTCACTCCATAGTATTTCAATATTTTACTTTTATTAAAAAAGTGCTTAACAATGACCGATTTAGAGCAAACTGGACTTTTAGTTTTTAACCCCAAAGATTTCGGTTTGCTTTTAAATAGCATTTCTTAGCTGGGCTATAACTAACAATTTTATTAATTTTACTGATCCAAGTTTCTTTGAATGCGTCTTTGTACGGTGTCCTTGATTGTGGAGAAAGGTGCATTTAGATAAAAAGAATCATTAATATTATTAACAAAGCTGGGTGTGAAGCTATGGATGATTTATGCTGCTGATTCCTTAGGAGTTTTCTCCAAATGATTCTTGCGTTGGAGAACGAATCACACAAGCTGAAGGAGATCTGCTGCACACTAGTAGCGTTGCTTAGGACTGCCATTCTAGATTCACTTTAAGTCCAAAGAGACGTCTGCTTTCTGGAGTTGGGCTGGACAGAGACCACCTAAAAACTGGACCTAACACTGTAAAAACTGCATTAGCCAAGCTATAGATTCTGTATATGTATCTAATTTGTCTGCAACATCAACACCAAATCAAATTCCTTGTAAGTTTAAATCTACTTTGCTATAAATTCTGATTTAAATCAGGTAAGTAAATAAGATGATCTGCTGATGGAATCAGTATATTTGCCTTTAAGATAGGATAACTGGATATCATAAGGTTGAAATATGATATGTCCTTCAGGGATCGATGTTAACCATTGCCCGATCTCTCGGGGCAAGTCGTTTTTACTGTTGGGAGAGTCGGGCAAGTGCAATGAAAAAATTATTTCTAACTCAAAATTACTTTAAAATCACGACATTCGCTGAAAACGACCCAGAAGCATTGCCGGCACCATTTTTGTTGTTTTGTACACATTCTCGCGTGATTTAAAAAAGGTGCGTGATTTTCCGCCAGATGATGTGATTTTTGTCCACCTAGCGGTAATTTTGATATAGTTACCAAAACGACAAGCTAGAAAGCGCTATCATATGGCAGTCTTCTGTACAGTGATGCAGGTCATTCTTTAAAAAATGTTTCATTGATATATATACAAAAATGAATATTAGGAAAAAATTTTATCAAACATTATACTGGGCAAGTAAAAATTGTTTGTGGGCAAATGAAATGTGAAAGTCACTTGCCCTTTGGGCAATGGGTAAAAATCTTTAACGTCAACCCCTGTCCTTATTTTAAACCTAAATGCAAATTGACTTATCTGCTCCAAGCAAAGGAAAATGACTGGATGATCTGGTGAACTGTAAAGAACCCTGAGATGAAGTGTTGTGAATTAGCGCTTTTATAAATAAACTGAATTGAAAATACAGAGAAGACAAACAAAATTTAATTTATGTCATTTTTTGCTGTGGTGGAGTTTTTTCCACACCAAAGCTCAGAACCAAAGAGGGAAACGAACCTTTTAAATCGGACCGAACCTGGCGAAGGTGAAGAGCCCCCACAATGGAAAAAAAACGATAAATAATAAATAAGTAAACTTTTCTTAAATTAAGTGTATTTACCCTAAATTTGAGTAGGTAAATGAGACAGTTTGCCAATGGAATGAGTATTTTACTCTTAAAATAAGATAATTAGATCATATGCACTTGAAATAAAGCAATGAAAAAAGAACAAATGCACTTATTTTAAAGGGGAACGCCGTTTTTTTTTTTTTTTTTACATTGGACCCTTGATTTTACGTTTTTACATCATGTTCTACTCACTCTGAGTTTTGTCATTTGGAGCCGTTCTGAAGATATTCCGTTCATAAGATCCTTGTCTTAACCTTATATAAACATTTGTTATTAGATGGCTTTTTTCTGAGCACATAGTAAAATTACTGAATAATCAAACTACGCATCACTTACAATCTTACAAAATAAGATAAAACATAAAACAAAACAGGCTTTACAGACAGACTGACAAAGAGAGCTAAGTATTAAATGTATTATGACCTACAGCACTTAGATGAGATAAAGCAGAGTGTCTGATCTTTGTAGACAGACAGATAAATAAAAAAATGGCGTTTCCCTTTAAGAAAAAATGACTTATCTAGATTTTGATTTCTTCCAATGCAGTATTAATTCTGCACTGCAAAAACAATCTAGAAATAATTAAATATTTCTGAAAATGTTGTGCATTTGTCCTTTATTTGAGTAGGTAAACAAGATTATTTGCTTAAAGGAATAGTACACCCAAAACATGATCAGCCTTCATTTTCTACTCACCCCCATGCTGAACAACACTCTGGAGTACTTTTTTGATATCTCAAATGCATCTGGAGATCTGGGAGGCTTCTTGCTGTCTGCTGACATTCAAATAATGGAGGTCTATGGCGCCCGAGGCAGAAAGGTCCATAAAAGTCCACAAAAAACGTGTCAATATTCCTCCATACTGCTCGTCCAATGTATTCCAAGTGTCCTGAGTGGGTAGCGTCCATAAGTTACTCGAAACGAAGTCATTTAGAATGTTTTTAGAGCATAAACAGTAGTGTATAGGATTTCCTGAAAGCGCGTTCACGAGTCTACGGAAACCGCGGCAGACCAAACCAGATGAAAGTGCGCATTCAGCTCGGCAAAGAACTCATGCTCTTCCTCAACACTGAAGTCCTCAGACATTTTTCTTTCGTTGTTTCTTTCTTTGCACAGGTAAACAGCACATTTCTTCTTCTACGCTTCCATTATCGGCAGAGCAGACGCTGAATGCGCACTTTCGTCTGGTTTCCGTAGCGTTGTGATCACGCATGTGCGCGCTTTCAGGAAACCCTATACACTACTGTTTATGCTCTAAAAACATTCTAAATGACTTCGTTTCGAGTAAATTCTGGATGCTACCCACTCAGGACACTTGGAATACATTGGACGAGCAGTATGGAGGAATATTGACACGTTTTTTTGTGGACTTTTATGGACCTTTCTGCCTCGGGCGCCATAGACCTCCATTATTTGAATGTCAGCAGACAGCAAGAAGCCTCCCAGATCTCCAGATGCATTTGAGATATCAAATTTTGGGTGTACTATTCCTTTAAGGAATCGGTACATCTAGTATTAAAATAGGATAATTAGAATATAGGCAACTGAAATGTGACAATGCATTGTTTTTTTTCTTATTCTTACTGTAAACTGTCCAGTTCTGGCAAAGTGTCTCACTTACCTCCTCAATATGAGATAAAATGACTCGGATTTCAATGTTTGCAGTGTGTTGTTCTGTGAAGGACATTAATGTTTAAACAGGAACATGAAGCAGAGATCAGGGAGAAAGCTAACACACCCAACACCTCCTGGAAAGAGAAGTGAGCGTGCACTAGGACCATTTATGGGGACTTTATTGCTTCACTGTGTGACACATCCAGATGTAAAGACCGTCACATGCTGGGGTCTACATTAGTACAGAGAGCTTCTCTGGTTAGCGTTGCTCTGTCACCTAGAAAGGTTTAATGGATGAAACAAAACGTGAAAAAAGCCCCTTTGAATTACAAGGATCACGCTGGGCTGAACGTGTTCTCAAAGGAAACGCTTTAAATACTGTGTGTCATGCTTAAAGCAAACAATCAGAGTCAGTGGAAGAACCTCGGTGCTTCCAGGCGTAATGGAAAACTGGGAGAGTGAGAGAGGGAGTATATGAGCGCTAACAGAGCCATCTTTGTCTGGACACAGCTTGTAATTGGCTAAACGGAGAGTCAACAAACCTAATGAGTTAATGTTCCACTGAATTGATTTGATTCAGTCAGACTGTGAAGCAAAGAGTCAGGAAGTCAGTGGGAAGCAGACAATTACACACCCAGACGCTGACAGACAAATACTGGATTATCTAAACGCTGCTCGGGTTCAAACCACTTTAGATCAGACCTGTTCCATATGATGATGATGATGATGTGCTGATATGCTGCAAAAACTCATCTAAAAACTGGTATTTTCACCCTAAAAACAAGATAATTAGACATTATGCCATTGATATAAGGTAATAAAGTTTTACTTGTCATTTCTTTTTGCCTTAAATGTAAGTCATAATTTCATTGGTCCAATCTACCATTCGGCGTTTCTCTACTTCAGCTCATATTATCCAATTCTGATCGATCTAATCGATCGATTAACTACATGAAAACCTCAGACAGACCAAAGAGAGCCTCCAACAGAAAACGCTACGTTCAGAACACAAGAAAAAAGCTGCTGCTTCATTTTTGATGTTTCTACACATTAAGGTCAGACATCCTTGGCTTCATATGAAAGGCTTTTCTTTGTGCGACATTACTCACATCCTCTCCACGACACACTGGTCCAGCAGACGAGCTCCTTCAGCAGAAGACTCCTCCTACCCAGATGCACCACAGAGCGCCACAGGAAATCATTCCTACCTGTGGTCATCAATCTCTAGAACGCTTCACTCAAGTGATTCTGACCCCCCCTGTAATTGACATTTATGCACTATTTTTGCACGCCACGTATCACTTTACTTGGAGTTAGTTTTACATATGCATATATATACTTATGTATATATATATATATATATATACATAAGAGATACACTATATTGCCAAAAGTATTTGCTCACCTGCCTTGACACACATATGAGCTTAAGTGACATCCCGTTCCTAATCCATAGGGTTCAATATGACGTCGGTCCACCCTTTGCAGCTAGAACAGCTTCAACTCTTCTGGGAAGGCTGTCCACAAGGTTTAGGAGTGTGTTTATGGGAATTTTTGACCATTCTTCCAGAAGCGCATTTGTGAGGTCGCACACTGATGTTGGACGAGAAGGCCTGGCTCTCAGTCTCCGCTCTAATTCATCCCAAAGGTGTTCTATCGGGTTGAGGTCAGGACTCTGTGCAGGCCAGTCAAGTTCATCCACACCAGACTCTGTCATCCATGTCTTTATGGACCTTGCTTTGTGCACTGGTGCACAGTCATGTTGGAAGAGGAAGGGGCCAGCTCCAAACTGTTCCCACAAAGTTGGGAGCATGGAATTGTCCAAAATGTCTTGGTATGCTGAAGCATTCAGAGTTCCTTTCACTGGAACTAAGGGGCCAAGCCCAGCTCCTGAAAAACAACCTCACACCATAATCCCCCCTCCACCAAACTTTACACTTGGCACAATGCAGTCAGACAAGTACCGTTCTCCTGGCAACCGCCAAACCCAGACCCGTCCATCAGATTGCCAGATGGAGAAGCGCGATTCGTCACTCCAGAGAACGCGTCTCCACTGCTCTAGAGTCCAGTGGCGGCGTGCTTTACACCACCGCATCCGACGCTTTGCATTGCACTTGGTGATGTATGGCTTGGATGCAGCTGCTCGACCATGGAAACCCATTCCATGAAGCTCTCTGCGCACTGTTCTTGAGCTAATCTGAAGGCCACATGAAGTTTGGAGGTCTGTAGTGATTGACTCTGCAGAAAGTTGGCGACCTCTTCGCACTATGCGCGTCAGCATCCGCTGACCCCGCTCCGTCAGTTTACGTGGCCTACCACTTCGTGGCTGAGTTGCTGTCGTTCCCAAACACTTCCATTTTCTTATAATACAGCTGACAGTTGACTGTGGAATATTTAGGAGCGAGGAAATTTCACGACTGGATTTGTTGCACAGGTGGCATCCTATCACAGTTCCACGCTGGAATTCACTGAGCTCCTGAGAGCGACCCATTCTTTCACAAATGTTTGTAAAAACAGTCTGCATGCCTAGGTGCTTGAATTTATACACCTGTGGCCATGGAAGTGATTGGAACACCTGATTCCAATAATTTGGATGGGTGAGCAAATACTTTTGGCAATATAGTGTATATGTGTATATATTTTATCTTTTTATTTTTATCTTTATTATCTTGTGTAGCTGGATGTGTGTATATATATATAAAACTGTAACTGGAGCGTGTAACAAAAGTAATTTCCCTCTGGGATTATTAAAGTATTTCTGATTCTGATAAACATTATTCTTATACTGAAGTGACACCGTCTGTCGTTTTCTAACCTGAATGGTGAAAAAGATAAAATAAGAAACTATTTGTCACCATGTAACCTCATGTCTGTAGCTAACAGTGGTTACAACTCACGCTCTTAAAGTCGTGTTCTTTACACTATTCCCAGGATCAACACAGATCTTGGCAAAACATCATTTTCCTATGCAGCACCATGGTCGTGGCACAATGTTCTTTTAAAAGTTTTTAATGATATACTTTTAGCAACTGATTCAGGTGACGTTGTTGTTTTGGTGCTGTTGGATTTATCATCTGCTTTTGACACAGTTGATGATGTCATTTTACTTTCCCGTCTGGAACAGTGGGTGGGCGTCGGTCACATAGCTCTAGATTGGTTTAGATCATATTTGGCTGAACGTACTTTTTGTGTCTGTCTTGATGGTCATAGGCCCCCCTCTGCTCCACTGTGGTGTGGTGTCCCACAGGGCTCAGTTCTAGGCCCGCTCCTTTTCTCACTTTACCTTCTTCCGCTCGGCTCTATTTTCAGAAAACATGGGATTGCCTTTCACTGCTATGCAGATGACACACAGATATACTTACCGCTAAAGAATGTAAACTCCACCTCTCTTCGGTCTCTGTTTTTATGTCTTGAAGATGTGAAGGCCTGGGTGGCCCTACATTTTTTAAAACTCAATGAGGACAAGACGGACGTAATGATCTTTGGCAGATCTTGGCTCAGTACGTTAAGCCGGTTATTACAAATTTAGGGGTTAAGATGGATGCTGGTCTTAAAATGGAAGCGCACATCAGAGCCGTTATAAAGTCCAGCTTTTTCCACTTAAGGCAGCTAGCCAAAAGTAAAACCCATTCTTTCCAGACAGCATTTCGAAACAGTGATCCATGCATTTGTGACCACACGGCTGGATTACTGATCACTTTATACAGGGGTCAGCGACTTGTATATTTCTCATCTTCAGAGGGTTCAAAATGCTGCTGCACGTCTTTTAACAGGTACACGAAAATTCGACCACATTTCCCCTGTTTTAGCTTCCTTACACTGGCTGCCAGTACATTTTAGGATTAATTTTAAAATTCTTTTATTTGTTTTTAAAACTCTTAATAGCCTTGCTCCTTCTTATCTGTCTGAGCTGTTGCATTCTTACACACCCTCCCGTTCCCTCAGGTCAGCTGATCAGTTGCTTCTGAGGGTCCCAAAGACAAAATGCAAGCTCAGAGGGGACCGTGCTTTTTCTGTGGCAGCTCCTAAGCTGTGGAATGATCTGCCTCTGAGCAGAAGACAGGCCTCTTCTCTTGCTGTTTTTAAGTCCCTTCTTAAGACTCATTTTTTTTCCTTGGCTTTTGGCACAATTTCAGAGGTTTTACTTTGTTTTATTCTTTTTGTATACTAATATGTATTTTACACTCGTTTTTTCTCTATTTTATAATTTTATTGTATTTTATGATTGTGTACAGCACTTTGGTCCTGTTCGGTGTATAAAGTGCTTCATAAATAAAGTTGGTATGGTATGGTAATGTTCAAAACTCCCTGGAATTACGGTCTCTTATTCCGCTACAGCATTTTAAATCACTATTGAAAACCGCTTGCACAGAGAATTGTAACTTATTCTAGAGTCTAGTTTATGATTGATTTTATTATGTTGTTTTTATGTGTTTTTATATGTCTTACTGTACTGCTGCCTCTTGGCCAGGTCTCCCTCAAAAAAGAGATTTTATCTCAAGGAACTTACTGGTAAAATAAAGGTAAAATAAAAAAAATAAAAAATGTTTTCTTCACACTGTGAGATTTGCATTTATTAAGAAGTCTGGTCATGTTATAAATGAGCTGTGGATTTCCTTGTTGAAATGGTTATGACCCATGTCTCCTAGGGCTGTTCAACAGGTTTGCCTGAATCAAAAATCTAGATAGAACTTATCTATGCATCTCTGCAAAAAGAATAAGGGCAGGTAGAAAAGTGTTGGAACTTGTTCTGTTTCTCCACTCTCATGAACAGGGGCTGGTACAATCTGAGGTTGTTTGCATAAAAATAACGACAGTTATACAAAACTTGCAGAGGGGAGGGGAGCTGGCAGGAAAACACCGTTTGCTTCGGACTTTTTAACCTCTGATCTGATATTTGTTTTTCCCTTGTTGCACCGACTATAGGCGGGCTCCGACCAAACAGGGGGAGCAGATCCCCATCTGTGCAGATCTCTTTCACTTCTGTCTCAGTGCTGATCCAATACTGTCCCACATTTGACTTTCATTTTTGCAGGTTTATCTTTTGGGTCTTACCGTTTAGCAGCTTGTCTGTGGTTCCTTCCTCATATTTGCTGCTTCTGTTCAGGTAATGTTGAGCAAACTCCTGCAGGGAAACAACAGCGTTAAAACATCTCATCTTTATCTGATGAAAGGCTCCTTTCAGTTTCATTTAAAGACGGAAGTAATATTCCCGAAGGCATCAAACAGCAGATGCTAAGGCTGCGACACCACAGGAGGTGACTGACCAGGCGAGGCAGCAGCAGGTAGCTGAGCAGAGTGACCAGAGTCCCGACACACGGCGTGATGAAGTAACCCAAGCCTGCAGTTTCAGAGTCAACGTCACCTGAGTGATTAGGAAGGAGCACAAGGAGAAAAACATTTAAAAAACCCCAAAAAACACCCAGGAAGATGGTTTGAACACGATTTTACAAGCCCATAATGTTGCTAAGCAACAGGTAGTGACTCACTGGCTAAGGAGAGCAGCATGGCGATGGCAGCGAAGGTCCCGGCGAGCCCCTGTCCGCTCATGAAGACGGCGCTGTAGTTCTGGGGCAGCAGCCCCACCAGGCCGAACAGGCTGCCCTGCAGGACGGCGCCGAACGCTGCAGAACCAGAACCAGCAGGTCAAGAGCTCCGCCCCTCAGCTGCGTCACACACCGCGAAGCAGCAGAAACTTACAGTTGATGAACCAGATGGTCGCCATGGTGACCGAGAAGAACAAGTCCTGCTCCATGTCCACTTTGACCAGCACCGCCGTGAAGATGAAGAGCAGCAGGATGAAGACGAGGCTGCCCGCTACCCGGATGGCCTCCGATATCCTGAAACAAGCAGTCGGCGTCAGAACCGAAACCCAAAACCCGGCGGCCCGACCAGAACCACGCGGAGACACGGACCTGTGGTACAGGAAGGAGTTGAGGAGCGTAAAAACCAGCAGGGGCAGCTGGGAGAGGAAGGTCATCCAGTTGTTGAAGTAATATTCTTTCTGGACCGACGAGCCGTTGCTGAACTCGGTGCTGTTGAGGCGACTCTGGAAGTACTGGAGAACAGGGAGGAGTTAGCTTCCATGACGCGGCAGGAACCTGTGAGGCGGGCTCAGAGAAACGATCACATTTTACCCCCGTATGGTCATTTACGGAGGGAATTTAGTGCCAATATTGTTCTATAAAAACATATATATTATCCAGGAATTAAACTTTGAAGAACTTCTTATTAATATTTTTCTTAAGGATAACTTTGCATTTCATTTTTTCATACATTTTTCTCAAATTGCATTTATTTTTTTCAAATTCCGATTTTTTTTTTCTTTGAGGAGCAAATATTAATTTCTATTGTTCTACATAGATTACAACAATAATGTTATGGGGATTAAAGTGAAGCAAATTTGATCGGTTAATGTAAAAAAAAAAAAAAAAAAATGAAAACGTTATTTAAAAAAAGTTTCAAAACATGAAAAAAACAAATATTAGAAATATTGGAATTGTTTTAAAAATAATTCAAATTACATTTTTTATGAAAAAGTAAATTCTGTTAAAAGTCTCACGAATCCTAAATGTAATCACGTCTTTAAATCCTTTATATTTACCAGTTTAGATTCCTCTCCATAAATACCTGCTTCCTGTTTATTTTCCCACATGTGGGAAATTATCCTTTTCAAAATGTTTAGACTGAGATTATTTAACTGCATCTTTTCTGACCTAAAGATGGCAGAATGTGAAATAAATGCATTTATTTTCTTTTAAAAATAGGTAATTCATAAAGTAAAAACTAGTACTAGTTAAAGCCCATTTCACACAAATCTGAATTATCGAGTTAAAATTATTTAAAATAAAGATTTTTCTTCTTTTTTAAGATGAAGTGGGAAGTTTGGGATCCATTAAAGCTTTTATTTGCACCCAGACGTGTAAAACAACCATCTGTTTGATAAGAAGTGAGCAATGGTGGCCGGGCTGAAGCCCTGGGAGGGATTTTCCAAACCGTCGTGTTTTTCTACAGAAACCAACAAACCAGCCTTTGATAGCAGCATCATCATCATCACTGATGAAGCTTTGCAGAGCCACCGACTGCTTTGGTTCTAGAGACCTGACGGCCAATCAGATCTTAACTTTAAGTTAGAAGTAAAAAAAAGAAAGAATAAATAATAATTCAGATAGGCTCAAAGGCCGCATGATGCTCTTTAGCGCCCCCTTGCGGCTCACTGGACCTTTTTCAAAGCTAAACATGGAAAAAGATGGATTTTTCTTTTAATATAGTGTGTAGGAGGACAAACAATTTTTCTTTTCCCAATGCTGTAAAAATGTTATAATAAATAAACAATAAATGTTACATGAACAAAGATTTACGTCATTATCAACGACTCGTTTCAGCGCGGCGCGGTGCCAGGCAGGTGGCTGTTGTAAACAAACAGCTGGGTTCACTGTAATCAAATTATCGTTTATCGTTTAAATAGCCTACTTAGCTTATCTAAAGGCTGCTGGTGCAGGCTGCGTTTTATTGCACCGTTTCCCCGATAAGGGGGGAAAAAAGGATTTTATTGTTACTGTGGTTTGAAAAATACTGCATTTTATTTTTCCAAATCCTCAAAATAAAAATACCACCACAAATATGAATTCTTAACTATATTTCTATAATTCCATGATTAAAAAAAAAATAATACATTAATACTGTAATTGAATATAAACTTAAACCAGATAGTGTAATTTTTTCAGGATGCGCTGCAGGAAAATAAACATTTAACCATGAACTTTTATTATGTATTTAAGCCTAATTAGTCATTTTGAAAGTGGGCTAATATATAAGATGTATATAAGACTGTTAAATGTTTGCGGCTCCAGATGGATCTGTTTTTTGTTCCTATATGGCTCTGAACATTTGGGGTTGCCGACCCCTGAGATATTTCCTGTAATGAGGATCGATCTCCTCTATGGTCTCCAGTAAATTAGCTAGACGATCTATAGTGACCCCTCCCTATGAACCTGCATGCCCCGTCTCAGCAGGATCAAAATGTTTTTACCAGGGAGGCGGTCATGAAGAAATTCCATGGCAGCAGCGTTCCCAGGCCCAGGATGAAGAAAATGATTCCCACCAAACAGCCCCTAGGGATGGAGGGGGGGGGGGGACAAGAGAGCAGATTGATGTAAACAAGCAGGTCCAGAAACAGGCGCGTGGTCGAGAGTAAATCTATGTGGGTTTTCTGGTGGAGAGTGAAGAAGTGGAAGTGACAGGAGCTCACCGGTCCTGCGGAGTGTCGGTCCGCCCCTTCATACCCACGCTGGAGTTTCTGCTGAAACTGTGGAGGAAACAGAAAGGGAACATGAAGTACCAGCAGCTGTGGATACTTTAGAAGTCAGGGTCTCCTGTTTAACTAACAGGAGGCTGAGAAAAGCTCATCAGTCCACAGAGAAGCTGTGATGGAGCAGCAGTGGTGAAGATTCTCAGTCATCCAGGTCGTAGCTTCCCATCCAGGAAACTAATTTAAATGAGGAAGCTTTCTAGATGGGAAGTGAAATGTCTTCAAACGTTTACTCTACGGGTTAATCAGACCCAAATCTGCTATCTTTGCTCTTATGTGACACAAATCAGACTTTATTACTGCAGTCAGAAAGATTAACCTCCCAAAAATCTGTATTATGTCAGTTCTATATTAAACGGTGCGTTGGATAGATATTTGATTATTTTTAAAGCTTTTCTTCCTGAGAGGTCATGTCCATTTTCCTCCGACTCTTGGAGGGAAAAAAAGTAAAAATATTAAGATAAATATCAAATAAGGCCATATAGTTTAAAAATCTTGAGCTATTAATTTTGCTCCATGTCTCCCAGCCCGACCGACCGTTTAATAAAATGGCCTCAGCATCGTTTAAGTGACCTAGTTTAACTTTTTCTGGAGAGTTTGTATCCATCAGCATAGAAACAAGCTCTGTAAATAGAATCTGATGGATTTATTGACCGGAGTCGACACCCAACAGACTGAGTGGTCAATGATGTCCTCTTTACGTCCACCCCCCCCCCCCCCCCCCCCCCCAAGGCTGGAGTTATGGAGTCAATTCCGTTCCATTATCGTTACAAGCAAATAACACATTTTGTAAATGAACATTTGGAGAGAAAAAAAGGCAATCCAGAAATGAGAGAAAATGAAAAAAGGTTTTAATTTCTCTGTTTTCTCATATTTATTTTTTTTCATTATCTTACTTTATTTTTATATTATATTTTTTCTTTTTTTTTTTCCTTTTTACAAATTTTATATTTGTAATTTTCTTTTTTTTTTCAAAATTAAGTTTGCGGTGAATACAATTTATAGTTCAATCTGAAAAAAACAGAAAAAAAATGAAAATAGAAACTCTAAGGATAAAATTTGAAGAAATGAAATATGAAAAAAAAGCAAAAATGGGAAAATGTAAATGTGAAGAAATCTTAGATGACAGCCATTCTCAAAACATTTTATTGACAAAAAGATGTTTTTCAAAGTTTCCTTTCTGAATTGCGTTTTTTGCAAATTTCCATTCACAAAAACATTTTCAAAATACTGGAATAAACTTCACTCCATAGTAGGGTTGAAACAACTAATCGGATTAATCGATTATTTAAATGATCGTCAACTATTTTATGAATCTATCTAATCTATCTGTCAATATTTTCTATCCAGAATTCCTCAAATTGAAAAGTTTTAGTTTCACCTGGTTTAATTTAGTAAAAAATATCTTCTTTAAAGAACCTTTTGCCATTTGGTTGTTATTTGAAAAAATAATTGACATGTTAATCGATTTGCAAAGCAATGTTTAGTTGCAGCCCTACTGATTGGTAAAGCTAACCCTTCTGGACATAAACACTCACATCAGCTGTCTGCACTACTTCCTCATCAACAAATAATCTGTTTCAGAGGTTGTTAAAACTGATGCTATCAGACAAACTGAGGTTTTTTTTTGTTTTTTTTTCACAGACTCATCTGTTTTTCCCCCTCATACTTCGTCAGCACCGGCTTTCCTGTTGTTTTAAACAAATGACAGCGCACATGGAAAACTGCACAGGAGTCCTGAGGCCACAGCCCCGTGTGACTCACGCCAACCTTCCTGTGATGCTGGAAGGACAGTAAACAGGTTTAGTCAGAAATCCAAGTGTTCATTTAAAGCCGAGCTGAACTAAATCATGGATCGGGAGGTGACTCAAAAGGTCATAAAAACTGTTAGTGTTTGATGGAGCATGGAGATAAAGATCTGATTAGAAATCACTGCCTCTGGCTTCAACATTCCCCAAAGGATTGTCCTTCAGAGTCACAGCGGAGGATTAATGATCCACCAGAGGAGGAGGCCGCTGGGCTCCTTCAAGGACAAACAGTAAAACAGCTCAAAGGAAACAGTCTGAACATCCCCGTCTTTAACAGGAACACTAACAGATGAAAACTACCTAAAACTGCTTCAAACACATCCTAATCAATAACTGAATAAATCGATTCTAAAAAGAACTAATTTAGCCATCCATTCATCATCTACTAGAATATACAGACTCTAATGATAACGTTTGGTGAAAGAAACAAGTGACTTGAGGCACAAACTGAGCAAAATATTCATTTTTTTTGAATAAAAGATAAAAACTCCTAAAGTGACCGAGTTTTAAAGCACTGTAAGAAAAATCTCCTTTAAAGCACCTCCTGCTTATGATACAAATGAAACCAACGTATTGATTGATTAAAAAATAATCATTAGTTGCAACTATAAACATATTTTAAGCTCAAAACATTTGAGGTAATAGTATCCAAAGATTATATGTTCAAAATGAAGCTGATCAGATTTTATGTGATTTTATATTTATGTTTCTTTATCACCATTCCAGAGACAAACAGATGCATCAGAAGCAGGCTTTTAGCGAGCAATACATACACCCTTTACTAAAAAAAATGACTAATTGTACGCCCTGTTTTCAGGGTGTACAGCTTTCCCCCGGAAACTTTGCTTTCAGTTGGAATATTTAAATTTTTGCTGCTAGACGCGCCACATCAACCAATCAGGGAAGCTGATCTGGCAGCTGGCAGGGAGTCAGACACAGCGCTGCTGCTGCAGAGTGCTATGATTAACTTAAAATGTCAAAACCTACCGGCAAAACGTGTTTGCTTTAATCATTCTGGTGCTGCAGTTTGTAGCGTGTACCCCAAAGAAGCGACCGCTGTAGGTTCCAGATCTGCTCTAGATATCCGATCTGCTCTAGGTACCCGATCTGCTCTAGGTATCCGATCTGCTCTAGGTATCCGATCTGCTCTAGGTACCCGATCTGCTCTAGGTATCCGATCTGCTCTAGGTATCCGATCTGCTCTAGGTACCCGATCTGCTCTAGGTATCCGATCTGCTCTAGGTACCCGATCTGCTGTAGGTAGAGCATGAAACGGGCCTTGAAAGTCAGCCCGAAACCGACCCGAGTCCGAAAGAACCAGGCCCGTTATGATTGACAGCTTCGTAGAGCCCGACCCGTTTGCAGCCCGACATTTTTCAATTGTGCGCATTAAGGGCTAATCTCCGTTTCACTTCTGTAACATCCATTTTGCATTCATCGCGTATAGATCGAACGTTATCACATGATCATTTATTTGCCGCGCATATAACGGTTTAAAGCCCGAGCCCGGCCCGGCCCGAATGAAATAATAAAAAGTACAGCCCGAACCCGCCCGAACCCGGCAGGACCTCTCAGGTCCCGTCGGGTTCGGGCTAATATTCCCTGCTCTAGCTGTAGGTACCCGATCTGCTGTAGGTATCCGATCTGCTCTAGGTACCCGATCTGCTCTCGGTACCCGATCTGCTCTCGGTACCCGATCTGCTCTAGGTACCCGATCTGCTGTAGGTACCCGATCTGCTGTAGGTACCCGATCTGCTCTAGGTACCCGATTTGCTTTAGGTAGCAGATCTGCTCTAGGTACCGGATCTGCTCTAGGTATCCGATTAGGGGTGTAAATCACAGCCATCATGGCGATTCGATTCAGTATCGATTTCCTGAACCCAAGGATTCGATTATTTTCGATACTCAAGAGTACAACACGATTCGATTTGATTAATCGATTAATCAATTAATTTTTTTTTATACCTTACAGGCTAAACAAAGTTTCAACTTTGAAATAAATCAATGAAAGCTTTAATATCGTTATGCATTTTTTTTTTTTAGAAACAACAGCAAATAACAGAAGTAGAAAAGTTGCATCAAAAAATACTGCAACAAAACTGCAGAAAATCAGTGCAATGAGTGCAATGCAATATCTCGGCTCCAGACGTCCCGCCCCCTCCACAGACGCTCCGCTTCACCTCTCCCAAATTGTAGCTAACCGCAGACAGTGCCGCAGATAGGAGGCCGGCTTGTTTTGTTTTTATGACCGAAATTGCGGAAAACAACTTGTGAAGTTTGACCCGCGAGGTGCACGAGAACGCTGGGACCCTTTTTCCTCCTGGATCTCCGCTCTTTTTGGCCCTCATGTCCCTCCGTCGTCGGACTAAACTCGCCCCCACTTCCTCGCCGCCTCGGCCGTATCTAGACCCACAGTGTGTAGCACAGACCACGCTTCAATATTGAGCAAAATTTTAAAATGTCTGTGTCAAGCTCGCTGCAACACACTGCTGTAAGAGTATAACCAGGAAGCGAGGTAGGAGGGCAAAATAGGTTTAGCGCCACCGCAGCATGGGAGGGAGAATTACGCCCAGGAACACATGGATAAAAATAGACCGGAGGGAAAAAAAACAAAAAACATGAATCGATTATCTTGCGGACGTGTCAATGCATCGGATCGTCGGCTGTTGGATCGATGCATCAATACAAAACGATTATTATTTGCACCCCTATATATAATCTGGTCTAGGTACCCGATCTGCTCTAGGTACCCGATCTGCTCTAGGTACCTGATTGGCTGAACGTTGCAATGATGTAAAACATTTCGCAACGATAACATCACGCAGTCTCAGTTTCCCGAGTCGGGAGCATCTGTAGTGTTAGCGTTGCTAATGATCGGTGAAGTTTAACCTGATTGATAACAAAACTGAAAACAAAGTGTGAAAAAAGTAAAACTGCAAGACCATAATATAAATGGGGAGAGCTGAATAGCACTGTGGCTAGCTGTGCTCAGTAGCTAACAGATTAGCCTCTTTTAGCCTGGTCAGTTAGCCATATTAAGCTAAACTACTTTTAAATTCATGCCAACAACAACCATTCGTTTTCTACAACTGTTTGTCTAAAATTTTTACGAAAGTCAGTTTTTAAGATGTTCCATTTGTATTCTTCTGCCGTCAGATTAGGGGTGTGCAAAATAATCGTCATGACGAT